AGCAGGAAATCGAAAAGGCGCAGAGCTCCTACGATGGCTACTATGCGCAAAAGGCCAGCGCCGATGGCACCAGCCTGGAAGATCTAAAGATAGACCACGTGTGAAAGTAATCTATTTGATAAGATTTTGAAAATGTTATCAAATTAAAGGGTGTGAGACAAAACATGCAGAATTGCAAATATATGATATGTTAAGCTGAATCGTTTTTAAAAAGCAATACTTTGTAATCCTTATAAGTAGAGATAGGTCTACACTTAAGCTGATTTATACCATACAAGTTTACAGTAAATATATATTTATATATATTAATTATATATACATATGTATATCATTTCATGTTTACTCATTTTCCTTAAGTGTAAATAGATTCGTTAGGCTATCCAACGTCATGTTGTCAAGGTCCCAGTGTGTTGATAATGTGGATTTATCGTCAGCCGATTTAATGAGCTTCATGATATTTTCCTCGATCGTGCCATTTACAATGAAACGGTGTACCGTGGTGGGCCTATTCCCATAAAGAGACAAATTAGAACTCTATTTCTAATAATATATATTAAACCTCACGTACTTCGTCTGACCGAAACGATGAACACGTCCAATAGCCTGCAGTTCTTCACCTGGCGTCAGAATTGGTTCTACGAGGAACACATGAGTAGCCTCAATCAGATTGAGGCCCTTGGATCCTCTAGCTAAGGGCATTAACAAACAAGTCACATTGCGGTCAGCATCCTGCCGAGAAAGAGTATTATAAATTAGGTCGATAATTTCATTTGGTTATGCACAGAATACAAACCTTAAATTCATCAATATCGCGATTTGTAAATTTGCTGCGGTACTCAATAGAATTTTGACTTAGAGCGCTGGCAATGTGATTCAATATGGATATCCACTGTGAGAAGATCAGAATTTTTTCTTGAGCCTTGTCAGAGCATTCGGATTTGATCTTTAGCACTTGGTCAACAATATACGCAATCTTTGTGGAGAAGTCTCCGACGACCTCGGAACTGTTGACACCCTTGCGTATGGAATAGTAGAGCCTGATGGGATATTTTGTTTAATAACATGAAAAATCATTCTAAGCCTCAGCAACTTACTGTGGCGAATCTTGTCTGCACAATGGACATTTCTTAACGCTATCACGACCCATTTGCTTCTTCATGCTGTCCAGGCAATGTTGGCAGAGAAAATGACCGCAGGATAACATAACATACTAGAGAGAAAATGGAATTAGAACTGAGTCTAAATATTAAAATATATATATCAAGCATTACGCGTTTATCATCCTGGGTTTGACAGATGGGACAAGGCTTATCGCCCGCATCTTCCTTTAAATGTTTTAAGTACTTCAGACGTCCGGACAGGCGCGTAAAGTTCAACTGTGACTCTTGAATGTTGTTCAAGTTGAATTCCGTCTGCTCGTTCAACTGGTAGGGCAGTATGCGAAAGCTGGATTGCTCCTCCGGATCATTGGTGAGTAAAATGCGCATTTTACACATGTCCAGCTCATCGAATGCTTTGATCACGTACTCCATTTCGATCCAGTACTTAATCTGCAATTTCACCAGACTCTGCATGGCATCCAGCAGCTCCAATTTAGTTTTACATTCGGCTTTGAATTCACTAAAATCGTTTCTGGTGCGCAAAAAGGCGAAGACAACTGAAAATGTATAAGTATTAGATCGTTGGCAATTGAACTTTAATAATGCCATTTAATACCTTTTATAATGATTATTTCGATGCTGGGATTCTCAGTGCCGTCCGTCACAGTGCCCTCCTTGCCCAACTCTTTGGCAAAGAGCAGACACTCAAACTGATTGACAATATCACGGATCTTACATAAGCGACAGAGCTGTTGTTTCTTTGGCTTTTCTGCTCTTACAGGTTTCTCAGTGACTTTTTCGTCCTGTCAAGACAGAGTTCAGAGTTATTAAAAATATAATATAATATTTCAGATACACTCACCAAGATTTCAGCCAAGTGACAGTCGGAGACATCTCTAATGAAGTTACGAGTTTCCTGATTTAAGGCAACTCCCTGTTCCACTGCTCCACACGCCTGCACCAAAATTTTCTTCAGACCCTCAAATTCGGCCCCAAGTTTTTTATGCAGTTTCATCAGTTTGTTGTGCCAGTTGTGTATTATATAGAGCACGCCCGTCATTGAGTTCACATCCTGCAACTTATCCTTGGAACAGTTTTGCCTGAAGAACTCATCCGCCATCTTATTCCAAAGCGCATTATGCAGCGATCCACTCGTATTGATCAATGTGGCGAATAGCTCTAAAGTATTTGTTTTATATAGCTGCTCCAGCTCATCCAGCTCTGCCAACTTCGACTCATAGGAATCTTGTGCTGCCCGCAGCACGGTGGACTTTTCCTCCAAATATTTATACTCTAGTGCGTTTAACTTCAAGCGATATTCAGAGAGTTCCTGCTCCGCCAATCGATCCGCCTCTGGTGCCAACTGAGAAGCCTCCAGCAGATTGTGCAATGCATGTATTTGGAGCAAGCTGTCCACACTGTAAGGTAAAGATAAGATTGTGAGTTACTTTATTTAGTCAAAGAGTTTTCTGCCTCTTACGATATGTTCTCCTCATTGTAGTCCTTAGCCAGCTTTAGCACCAGTTTATAGTTATGGATCGCCTCGCCGTAATGTTTTCGTATGAAATGAATGGCTGCGATGCCATTGTAGGATGAGGCCCAAGTGCGCAGCTCGCGCTTGCATTGCATTTCGTTGTTCGACTTGAGATGCACAAGGAGATCCTGTGGATTCAAATAGTTGGTCGTGGTCACATTTTTGTTGAGCACAACTGGAATGGAGCAAGTTTTTCGAATGCGCAGAAAAGGATGTAATATGATCCTTAGCAGCTTCGGCGATATGGAAGCCAGGCAGGAACTATGGTTATTCGGGTTCTGTTTCGTGTGCTTAGCCACAGCTGCCAGGAAGAGTTCTGCGCATTTTGCATGCTCCTCGCGGTAATACAGAGACTCCACGTTGCTCAACTCAAGCCGATGCACGAGCTCTGTTTGCGGTGGTATGCCCAGCTCGTGCTCCACTTTCGATTTGCAAGTGCGCCACATGCTTTGCTGCAAGAGCTCCAGCAGCGGCTCGGCCTTGTGGTTCAGCAGAAAGGAGTTTGAGACCGTCTGCCAGGCATCGCTGGGCTGACAAGCCTCCTTGAACCCAATGAATTTCAGAAGCGGCGCCAGATCATCGATGGAACGTTGTATTGGAGTGCCAGTGACCGCCCAGCGATTCACTGCCGGTAGCTCACGTACCATTTCCGCCACATTAGATGTGCTGCTCTCGACCATTTGGGCCTCGTCTAGGCAGACGCGCCACCAGTGCACCATCAGTAACGGGGAACTGGGCCGCATGTAACGCTGCTCGAAGCGCATCGTGCGATTCGTTGCGTTGCGCGGCGTATGATGAATCTCGTGCGTTAGAATGGAATAATCGGTCAACACGATATCATATTGGGCCAATTGCATTGGGCTGACCCATAGCCCAGAGTGCAAACCAGGATAGAGCAGCACTTTCAGTGAGGAGCTTATATGTTTGCTGATTTCATTGAACCACTGCGTCTTGATAGCGTTTGGGGACACAATGATTGTAGCTCCTGATTCTACCAGCTCGTCACAGTTTGCTGCGGATTCTGTCCAGCAATTGGGACACATATAAACATCGCTCTCATCTAGTATGCACGCCTGATGCTGCCACAGTTGACAGCGGCTGCACTGCACCTTCGTTTTAATGGCCTGAGAGTAAGGGCAAATGCAATGGGTTTTCTGTTCCGTGCGCCTCATCTTGAGCGGCAAACTATCTTCCAGATTTTCCAGCAAGTTGCGCCAGTAGCTGTTGTTGATATTTGCTCTGGGATGCAGCAGCAGAGTAGCCAGCAGTTCAACTGTCTTGCCCAGACCCATCTCATCGGCCAGAATGCCACCCGGTGGCAATATGATCATGGGCATTGCATCTTGATGCGCATAGAATTGGAGGCAGTATTTGTGCTTGAATACTTCATGGTGGTTGTCCGCGGTCTGCAGTGTAATATAACTGGCTGGAAATTGATTTGTCTCTCGTTCACGTGTCAGCATCCAACTGACGGTGCGCTCCTGATACTTTCTCAGTTGAGATTTGAAACAGCTCGGCAAGCACAGAGGCAATGGCTCCTCAGTTTTTTGCTCCTGATGCTTACAGTATAAGGCATTGTAAAGCTGCGTCGTTACATAGCTCTTCAGTTCACGTTGGCTCTGATGTTCCCTCTCTACCTCAAACTCCAGAGTGGGAGTGTAATTTCTGAAAATAATTGGCAAAATCTCAGCAGCTAGCTCCATGTCGAGTTTATTTGCCGGAAATTCAGAGGCCGATTCCCTCTGAAGAATCGCAAGTGTTCGACAGCCATTTTGAGCTTGTATTACTCTAAAACATAGTTTTTTGGTGCGCACTTTTTCATCTATTAAATTTAAAGAATTGTTACAAGGTGTATCGAAATAATCGAAATGTACTTACAGCTTGTTATTAATGCGATAAGTTCATTCTCATAATCAGCTAGGAATGATTTTATATGCCATTGTCTTTTGCCATAATGAAACAGCAAACTCGAATCAATACTATCAGTGCTGTCAAAATATTCATCAGCTAATTCACACAGTAAAACGGGCGGTTCGTCCATTTAAATGAATTAGTTTATTCCGCTTCGACTGCTAATAGCCGCGTTCAATTGCTTACAATTAATCGAAAGACCGATATTTTGATCATTTTTGCACCCGAAAACCGATAACAAAGTGCCATTAGGGCTGTTCCATCCCGTTAATTAACGTTAATACGAGACGAAATTCGAATCTTGATTTATGCATAAATATTTATTGAAAATGAATTATATATCAGAAATATTACTAATACCATAGAGATATATCATATATGTTTAGGCACTGATTGAATCAAGTTAATATTCCAAAATGAATCATTTTTAGGTGCTTCTATTTTTCGCATGCGGTCACATTGACAGTAATAAAAATAAATAACAAGCGCGTGCCTGTAAAAAATTGTATTTATTTTTATAAACGAATACTGTTTTTGCATACAACACGTAGATGAACGCTGTAATTGCGCTATGCCATTTTTGCGAAGTGGATGGTCCTTGTGCTATCTTTTGCACGCAAACATTGCGTGACACCAAAATCGAAGACCTTCTGAATGTAGAGCAGCCACAGCAACAGCAGCAGCAGGGACAAAAGGCTTGTTCCGCTTGCAATTATACGCTGGGCCGCAACAATGCCATCTACAGCAAGGATACAGAAAGTGGCGCAACATTCGTGAGCACCAAAGTGGCCGTCCTGCCCGAGGTGGCCAACCTGGTCAAGCAAGCCGCCGTGCGCAGTCTCTGCTGCGAGATAAACCCCAACAGGGATGGCGATGGCGGTTTCGTATTTTTTGGCGACTCTTCTCGAGGTCATATCCTCAGTCATACATTTCGAGTCAGCGATTTGCAGTCTCGTGGCTACTATCAGCTTTTCTCGATTATAGTGCTAATGAAGGACAAGTATTTTCTGCTAAACACCAAGCCCTTTCTAGCGGAGCATTTGAAAAAGGTGTCCACGGAATTGCAGGCCGCAGCACAGCGCACCAAGGCAGCAGAGGAGCTGACCTACTCGGAAAGACAGCGTCGTTTGTCGGGCGCACAGTTTCTAATGCCGACACCACGCTCTCTGATTGAGTTGACGGGCGAGGAGCATTTGTTTGCCCAACTGCACTCACACTTTGCGTGGATACTGTTGGCTGGATCCCGATTCCTCACCGAGCACGTCACCTTCGGCAATCTGCCTTGGTTGCCACCGCAAAGTAGTGGCCGACCGCCTGCTCAACGACTTACCTACAACAGTTCCACTCTGCCAATGATACAAATGTATGAGGAGAGCATCGACAATCCTGAACAGGACGAATTCTTTTCGCTGCGACATATCAAGATGGTAGTAGGCAAGGAGGATTTTCCAATTGTTTGTTACTGTGCTCTCACGGGTGTTAAGATTATTGTTCGTGGTGCACCGGATCGCACTTTTCAATTCATGGTGTGCCTGAAAAAACTGCTACCGGAACGAATGCACAATCTTATGCGCATTGATGCACAGCATCAGCACTCGATTAGCTCAGAGTATAAGATTATATCGGTGTCTAATGAGATCGCTGTGCCGATAGCAAGCACTTGCGTGCTCCGCATTGATTTCCTGGACAAGCATATAAATGGCAACGATATCGTCTCCGTCAAGTGGCCCGGCGAGCTACCGCGCAAGTGTAAGCAGAAATATCTTAGATAATTACTGCATTTTATAACAGCTCCTTCGCTATTGCAGATCCAGATCTCATGGTCAAGCTACTAAAGGCCGTCCATGCCGTCGAAGAGAAGACTTTCACCGAGCTGGTGCTCAACAAGCAGACGAAAGTGCTAATCGAGGAGTGGAAGAAGTGGGTGAAAGCAACATCCAAATGGATCCACATTGTTTCATATCTCTCTTATCCTTACAGCAAGGTCATTTGCTTGAATCATGCCAAGTCCGGGAGCGTGCAGGCCAAGCTGAAGAAAGTGCTCGGTGTGCAGCCGCAGGACCAGCCGATTATTAATTATTGGAGCACACACTTGCACTAGACTGTGACTAGCTTTAGATTTGTAATTTATAAATTGTTTTTTCACTTTTTGGAATAAAAGTTCTTTATTGCCACATAGAGCGCAACGTTATTTTCCTCGATTGACAAATCAATATCTTAACCAAAAAGCGACGTCCACCGTTTCCACTGGCCACCTTTGTTTACTTCTTGTAGCCGCAGCTTGAGCGACGACCACGAGCACGCTCGAACTTGCGTCCCTTAGACCGGACATAGGGGCGGGTGTGCGAGTGGGGCACACCAGGAGCCTTGCCGAAGTGCTTGCAGGCAGTGCGAGCAGTGCGCTTGCCCTGGAGCAGGAGCGTGTTCTTACCGGTGGGTGCACGCAGAGCCAACTGATCGAAGGTCAGAATCTCACCGCCAGCCTTCAGGATGCGCTCGCGAGCCGTCTGAGTTACATGGAGGGCGCACAGCGACAACTTAGGCACCACCAACAGGCGGGCATCATCGGTCACGGTGCCAACAACCACAACAGTGGACTCAGGCTGGTTAGCGGCCTTGAAGAAGCGAGCAATGCGCTGCAGGGACATTGGTGGCCTGTTAGTTTTGCTCATAAACAAACGCTTCAGGATGATGCGGTTGAACTTCTTGTTTGTACGACGTTGCAGGAAACGGTACAGCTGTAAAACAAAACTTGCGTTAGCAACACTCTTGCTTTTAATATCATATTTAAATATTTACCTTGACGAGCAAACGCAGGTAGACATCCTGAGATTTGGGTTCGGTTCTGCGAACCTTACGATCGTACTTGTGGTTGATATCAATACCCTGTAAGAATATTGAAATATTATTACCAACTGTTCAATTAGTCTGCAATAGGTCATGTTTTTCAAACAACAATCAATATTTTTCACAAACATTCAAGATGTTTACAAATTATTATTTCAGCTTATAAATTCTTGCGTCGTACCATTTCGGCGACCGGAAAAAGAAAGAGACGAGCAATGACAGTTGGCGATGGCTAAAATATCGGTATATCGAATATATCCATAATACTTACTCGATATAAAGAAAATTTTAATTAATTCTAAATGCGATATATCTTCTTTAAAGCAAATAATTGTCATTCAGACGAACAATATTTCTGTAGATGGAATTTTAACGTTATAGGTGTCTTATTAATTTTAATATTAATATTTATCGATTACGTAAAATAGTTTTTGACAAATACTTAGGGCTGCACAAAGAGTTTGATTAGTAGTGGCAGCGCTGTAGCATACCTCCTTGCAGCACTAAAGAAATGGCAGCGGTAAATTTACGTAAAGGCTTTTTACTTCTGCCTCAAAATGTGAGTAAATTTGAAGAATTGGTAAGCACTTCTGAATTAAATACCCACCCATAGGTTGTGTCCAACCTGCAGAGAAGCTATGCTTCATCGAAACAAACGAAGGCCAAAACATTAGAATCTGTTGGTAAATCTATTGCTTCGAAGGGGTAAATATTGTTCTCTAGTGATGATTGGGTGTTAAATAATCCGATTGCTTGCAGTTTCCTACGTCCAAACAAACCATACGCACCTGCTTCAGATGCAGCGAACCGTGTTCGTGCCGTGGCTGCCAATTTACAGATGGCCAAAGGCGGAGACCAGCGACAGTTGTCTAACTTAGAAGAAAAGTTTAAGTTTCTTACGGCTTGTTTCCAGGAACTGCAGCATGGTGTGCCCAATTCGCAAGTGCATGAGATGTCCACAGTGGCCGATGTTATTGCATTCTATGAGAGGGCGGTAGACACTACAGTGCCACTGGATGCACTGAAGCGCATAGACTTACCAGAGAATTTGCATATACAATATGAATATTTGCGTTTCCACCCAGATACAGACACAAAATTCAATGGAAAAACTGCCTTTCCAAAGAGTTCCACTTTGGTCACAGGACTCAAATATCGAAACAAATATGAGGGACATGAGGCCAAGCGGTCTTGGCCTTAGTTTAATATGTTAATCCTATTCGCTGATTATAGTTAATAAAGTGTTACTCTCTATAAGTATTGAGAGATTGTCTCCTTCAGATCTGAGTTGTAAAGAGTTTTCAACGCCGATATAACCCTTCGATCTTTTAGGAGTTCCATGAGACGGTTATCTGCCTTTGCCATTTCAAATGTGGGATACATGAACTCGTAGTTGATTTCTGTTACAGAGGGCTTATTCATAACATTGAGAATCCGCTTTTGCAGCTCGATTTCTGGATCGGGCTCCTGAAGCTTAGCCAAAGCATTTGCTTCACCCAACTCAAGCTTCAACTGTTCCTCTCGCTGTTTCTCTAAATACTTGATTACACATTCATACTGCAAACCTGTCAACTGTCGGTTGTTCGCAAGCATTTCGATCAAATGCTGCATTGTATCTGGATGTCTGTTATGGTTCATTTGGGAAGTGCTGAGCGCTTCACGTTGTTTCTTCGATCTAAAGTCTGTGGTCACGAGTGCGATGGCATCGTCTAATGGCATATTGCGATGCTCTGCTGGTATTCCATATAATATGTTGACTGTAATGCTATTCAGAGCTTCGTGCTGCGGGGTCACCAGAATAGCGTAGAGACAACCGCGTGCTGATATATTACTTAGTACTTGGTTTAGCATAACATCTTCATTGGGAAATAGAACATCTACCCGCATGCCAATCTTCCTCAACTGATCCTCAACGTATTCTGCGTATTTCCTGTAGTTGTGTAGGAATAACATGTCGATTAGCAGGTGAGGCAACAGCGCATTTTATGTACATATATACTCACGTATTCTCACGATTCACCACAATTATTTCACAATCGTTGATGGGCGCAGCGGTAGCAGCAGCAGCGACGGGCATAATAATCCCGCCCTGAACGGTCATTGGAACACCGCCTGGATTTTGTGTTATTGCATTGATTTTCTTGGCATTTGGATTGACTGGCTTTGGTTTGATGCTCGCATTTCGCACGGTTAGTGCCTTTGACTTGAATATGGATTTATTCAATGCAGAGGCACATTTGTTGGCAATTTCTTCGCTTTCGAACTGCACAAAACCAAAATTCTTTTGCACCAAAGATCCCAAAACCTTTCCATACGGATGGCAGATGCTCTCCAACTCTTCTCTCGTGCAAATAGGCAGATTTCCAATGAAAATGCGATTCTTCACCAAATTTGGATCTCGCGCAATATTGTATCCGACTGAGCTAGGATCTATGTGAGTAGCCATACTACGTTAATAACGCCTAAATTTACTTTTATTTAAATTGCCAATGCAGCTGCAAAAACTATTTGTTTTGAGATGATTATTACCGGGTATCGATGGGAATCTAAACAAAGTAAATAAAAAACTATCGATACAGCAATTAATCGATATTATTTTAATTATTCGATATAGCCGTTACTATTGGGATATTTAAAATTTGAAACGAAGTTTATTGCCGTAAAAACGTAACATTACAATTAAATAATTAGTTACATAATATTTTATGATATTTAGGCGTGTATCAAAAATCCATTAGCATCATGTGGCAGATGTGCCTCATGTTCCAATTCGGGCTTCTTTTTCGGCACATAGGGATTATGCTCCGGATCCGCATTTAAGCTGAGTATTGATTGATTAAGTATAGATAATAAATCATATGTAATATATCAAAAATACTTACTGATAAAGGCTAATGGCCTCCTCGCATTTCACATTGTACCACCAGTCGCATGCAAACTCCTTCTGATTAAATATGGTGCCGTTGGTGCAGAGGAACGAGGCTCCCTGGTGTCCCTCCCGACCATCATGGCAGACGTGATAAGCCTGGCATCCGGTCTCCACATTCGCATACATGCCCGGAACGGCGGGCACATTGTGACAGCTGAATTGGGTATGCGGCACTTCATGGTAAATCGGATAATCAACTCCTGGCACGCCTGGTATTTTGTTCAGATCCTGTTTATCTTCGCGGCGTTCATGATGCTCTGGTTGTGGCGGATTATACAGGTGTCCGAATTTCTGTAGCAGCAAAAGTAAACATATCAAATGTTGCATATTGCGTAAGCCAAAGACTTGTGCGGTAACCGGTTCCGCAGTCTCCAAGTCTCCGAGTCTTTGAGTCTCCGACTCCCTCCAAGTGGCAGGCCGCTCATTATTAGCAAACAATTAAACATGTGTATAGCTGTTGTTATGAACATATGTGCTTGTGTGTGTATGTGTGCGTGTGTGTTTCGTATTGGTGTGTGCCTCAATTGCATGTTACAATTTTTGGGTCAAAAGTGAACGTCGACCACAACGTCGCGTGGTAAGACACAGCCACGCGTGCCAAGCCAATATGAGGCGGGAACTGTGCTATCCCCTGATCTGATTTTCCACACTAATTGCAACTCATCATTATCGATATTGATGATCGTCTCAGACTAACCTGCACTTCAATGGCCATCGCTAGGCCAGCTACAAGCAGCAGCGCTGTCAGCATCGTCTGTTGCTTCAACATTTCTTCTTCTATGTTTTTTTTCTTTCCAGTTGTTGTTTATTTGCAGTTGTGGGATTTGGATCAACCGTCTGCGCTCAGCTTGAAAATCGCACTGAAGCTGAAGTGCAGTTTTTCCAAGCGGCATCCACTTGAACGACGCCGTTGCCGCCGTCGTGCAAGCTTTCAAGGGTACCATGAACGATGTCTAACGGTAAGCGTGGTTCGTGTCTCGTGCTTCGCTCGGCTGTTCAACTTTCGATTTTTGGAAGCTGCTTTTCTAAGCTTTTTTTTTTTGTTTTTGCTTTTTGTTTTTGTATATTTGCTTCGCAATTGAACAAACAGATCGCACTGCCTAAATAGTACAGTAAAACTTTAGGTACATATAACGATGATAAGCATAAGTATCTTATGCATATGTAGTAAGTAGTTATTGCTTGTGCAGGAAAGCATAATGCAATATGGTTTATTTTGCAAGCAAACATTTTTTTTACGCTTAACAAATTTGCGGCTGACTTAAATACAAGAAATACTTATTAAATATGATATGATCGAGTGTAATAACAGTAAATGGAAAGTACATTCAACTTGGCTAAAATAATTGAATGGCGTGTAAACGGATCGTCATTGGCATGGTTACAATAAGTACTTAATACTCTATAAGCTCAACCATAAACGAAGATTTTGTTTTTAATTGTCACGAATTGTCTATTGTTATGTCTTAAATTCTAGGGCTTATAATTTATGCGCTTAGAGAAAAACAAACGGACAAACTAATACAACTTGTGTCCTGCTGGATTCAAGTCGAGCTTGTTAAGCAAATCGTCGAATTCACTAAAGAGCTGCAATCAAACAAAGTTAAAAAGTTGAAGCCATAGAGCTGACTATACATAATGGTGTCATAAAGGTGGTGCTTACGTGAGTCTTGCCATAGCTATCCACATAGGTCTTACTCCCACCGGCTGTTTTCTTGAACGCAGGCACCGCTTGGCCATGCAAGAGATTCACCTTTTGATAGGACTGCGCCTTGCCTGATGCGCTCGATGCATGGCTCTTGCCCACGGTGGGCGCCAGTTCCAGAAAATTGGGCACTGCACAAGCCACATAAATGTTAAGTGCAACAAGGCGTAACAGATAAAAATAAAAATAAAACTGAATAATTGCTTAGCTCACCTTTCTTGGGCTGGAATTTCACTTGATTGAGCAACGGATTGTGCAGCTGCAGTTGACGGTAGCTGGGCAATGCATGCTTGGGCGGCACGAGCACATACGGATGGCCCACGGCCTGCGGATACAGATAGGTAGTCTCCACGCTGGGCACCTGACGGTACTGATAGCGACCCTCTCGCGGCGTATAACGGCCATCGGAGCTGAGCGCTATGTGGTAAACGGTGCGCATGGGCTTGTTGTAGTATTGGTAAACCTAGTTATTAAATATTATTATTGATTAATACGTGTGCTGAAATGATGCCAATATATATTTAATTAGCAATATTGATTACCTGTGGATTGCGTTGCTCGGGCACAATGCCATCTGGCACGGAAATGCCCTCCTTTTGCAAGCGGTTCAGAAACAGTCGATCGGTTTCAAAGGCGGTGTCGGGTATCTTGCCACCCGCATGTGGCAGCACTTGCTCTCGATAGATCTGACGTTTCTTTAATTGGTTTTTTGACGATTATTTATGACTCCAGCTACATATGCATAGTGATTGTGGTCTACACACCTTGTGGTTGCGTTCCGCAGTTATTGACTCATCGGCAAAGACAGCTGCGCTCAGGCTTAGCAGCACAATTAGGTGGCGAAAATGCGGCGATAACATTCTGTCGTTTATTTTGAAATATTTGCATATATTTTGTTATTTATTGCATACAATTGAAAAGTAACTCTCGCAGCTAAAGGTCAACTCAGAGCTCTAGTTCTTGGCAAACAGGTGTCAGCAGCTTGGTACACAAATCCACATTTCAAACATTTTCATTCAAATTGCAATACACACAAGCACATACACTCACACACGCGTCTCGTAAGTCGGCTTTAGAATTTAGAAGAATTGACAATCTCAACGTGACGAAGATCTTTCGGATTCAGAGAGAATTGTGTTGTGGCCGCGTCGACGGTGCCAAACATAATGAATGCAAATGCACAAAGCGCGCTGATCTGTGGCGGGTGCCCACCGCCGCCAACCAGCCAAGTGCCCTCTGCTGCTGCGGCGGTGGCGGTGGCGGTGGCGACTGCTGCCGTTGTTACCTCTGCTGCCGATGACAACAATAACAACAACAACAACAACAAACACAAGACTTAGTTAACTGTTGGCATCACGTGGTAGCTTGGCACGACAATCATCATCATGACGATGATGTGGCTGATGATGATGTTGCTGCCATAATCTGAAGATTGCCCAAAATACACGATAGTAAAAGTGATCTAGTCGGGTGTGCTGAACGTTAGGATATCCTATAGGGATACATGTGGACTATATGGAAAAGAAGAGGCGAATTTAAAAAGATTAGTAGGATAAGGGTAAATGATGTGGAATTATAAGGGAAGGTAATAGAAAGAAAGAAGAGAGAGTGTTAGATAAAGGCAGGATAAGAAAGAGTTTGAGTGAGAGAAAGAGAGATAGGGAGAGAAGAGGAGAGATATATAAAGAGATATTTATAAAGATACATAGAGTTAGAGAGTAATAATCTGCCTCTGTGAAAAGATGAGGCCAGAGAGAGATTTACAGGGAAAAAGAGACATATATAGCTAAACCTATAGAGATATATAAGCAAAAAGACATCATTCCTTTTGCACACCATACTAATAATTACAGGGTATTGCAACTGTTGCATTTGCATTTGTGAGCGATCATCAGACATTTCCTATGGCTTTTACATTAAAGACCAAACACAAAATTAGTTGCCATTTTATATTTTGGGCTTAATTTGTTTAAGCCAAAGTGGCAGCAAGATTAAGCAAAAAGTATTAATGAAAACATAAATTCAAACATAAAACAATATACGTTTTGGCAACGTAATTAATTAATCTTGTTGTTTCACTGGGCAGCTCGGCGTCGATGATGCACCGGATTGTTAAGGTCGATTGGACGGGCTACTTCACTTGAAACTTTCAATATTTTGGCTGGCAATATCTTTGTTATGCATAGTAATAATTGGTTTAGTGTTTTATTTTTTTTTTTTATGCTGTATTATTTTTTTTTTTCCATTTTTTTCGGACAGAGCAAACTTTTTTTTTGTTTTTGTGCTCGTCTTTTGAAAGTGAATGTTTGTTATTGTTTTTGTTGGATTTTGTTGTTGATTGCGCTTCAGTTGAACAATTTTGTATAATGTTTTAAAATTTATTGATTGTTTTTGTTATTATTATAAATATTTGTATAATTTGTGTAGCTCTCGCAGCGGCCACTTAAACTGGCTGCTGAAGGGTTCATCTCCGGGGACCTTGAAGCTGTTGTGAAAGTGAAATGTGAATTGTGATCTTAGAAGTTCGAATCACGTTTTTGATCTGTATTCATAACTAGGTATGGGAATGGGCAATACCTATGCCATATTCCCACGCCGTTTGCATTTAAAATTCCGATTGCATATGACAGCCCATAGACAATCATACCAAGTGAGCCAGCCAGCTGAAGTGAAAGCCAAGAATGGCTCACAAAGACACCGAAACCAAAGACTCAACATTTGAAATGCCAAACGCAAAGCCAGCAGCAGCAGCAGCAGCAGCATAAGCATAAGCAACTCATGTAGTTTACAAGATAATTATCGCCGTTACACAATGGTTGTAAATGGTTTTACATTACCAATTACAAGAGCGGAAACCTAAGCCACAAATCGGAGCAGCTTCTGGCATGGGGGCTTCTATTGCAGCTGACCTTGGCGCCATCAAATGAAATCAAGATGCAACAATCAACGTGCACAGCATCCCATTGACGATACAAAACAAGATGCTGATGACAATTAAAGATTAATTATTTTAAATCACCGTCGACCTTGGAATAACTCAACTACAACTACAACTACAACTACAACTACATCCACAACTTCAACTTCAACTTCAATTTCAGCTTGAGCTAGCCCAGGCCGAGCATCGCTGTGGGCAGCTCTGAATTGGTAGCAAATCATCTATGTTGCTTGCACTCTCGAGTCACGCGCTAATTGGTTAGCAACTGCGGGTTTCCTGGAGCGTTTTTCTTTTTCTTTCTGCCATCGATTACAAATTGGAAACGCTTCGGTTTCAAGGATTTCCTAGCCAACATTCCCACGTCGACAATAACCAAAACAACAAAGCCTTTCGAAACTGTCGCAAAATCACAAAAGTGACAAGCCAATAACACGAAATGCTCTCCAGGCACAGCTCAATTGTTGAGAGTGTTGCGAAGTCGTAGTTGTATTAGAGTGGTTCGGCAATGGCCTCCAGAGCGCATCACATCGCACAGCGCATTGACTCAAAGGTTACCCAAATTGGCCCACAATCAGGTTCAATTGCCTTTAAAGCCAATTGCCAATTGCCAATTGCTGATCTGACCATCTCGAATTCAATTTGCAATCAGACATGCTTTGGGACCTACATATGTACATAGATAGATACGTTTTGTGTGTGTGTGTGTGGGTGTGTGTGTGTTTAATGCCAATTACGCATGTTTTCAAATTTTTAATAATTTCTTCAATATTTTATATTTTGGGCCACGTGCTACAGCACTGATCAATTAAGTAAGGCTGTCAAAAATCAATATGAGACTCTAGACAAAACTGCTCGACTAGCAAATACCCTGAGTTCTGTGACGAGCAACTGTTTTTATTATTATTTTTATAGAGTTTACACTCTCCCTGCTTATGCACTTATATTATATTATACATTTTCAATTCTATTCAAAATGAAACAGTTGTTATTTGTATAATAATTAACTCCGCTTTATTTGTTTGCTATTGTTGTTTTTGTTGCTTGAACCTAAACACTTTTCAAAAAATGAAACAGTTATATATATCAATCTTTGCTGATTTCGTGGACAAGCTTTCACATAGAGCTTTTCATACATAGAATATAAATATATGTATATACAATATGTTCAATTCCGAATACATTTAGCAAACTAGGATAAAAGTTAACTTTTTGCTTCATAATTAAATTAACTTCGTTGTAGGCGTTGCTAGATTTTGTGGGTTTTCAGTGCACGAAGAACGGTTTAAATGCAAAAACTGCTTTTGACTTCGTTTAAACTTCGGTGTAATTTTTGTTTTGTTTTTTTTTTTTTTTCTCTTGTATATATGTATCTTAAATATTTAATAGGTAAATATTTTTGTTTTAAAGCTATATTAAAAATAAAAATGTTAAACAACAAAAATGAATTATGCATTAGAATATCGTATAATTGAATATTATGCTCTGATTTTCCAAAACAAACAAATCCAAACAGAACGTTTGGATTTCCTCGTATTTTCTTTTCTAGCATTTGAACTAAATAAGTTTGTATAAAAAAATATATAATTTGAGTAACAATGTATTTTTTTTTTGCTTGGTTGGCCTCCCTGTAATACTCTGCAAAATATATGTACAAAAATAAGTGTTTTTTTTTTTTTAATGGTTTGCAGAGTTTCAAGGAGACCAAGAACCAAGTTGTATTGCTTATAAACTAAACATGCTAAAAACAAAATGTTGTAAATGTTTGCAAAGTTTTGGTTTTTGTTTTCTCTTTTTATGTAATACTCTTTTAGAACAGAGAGGATGCAAGCAAAATAGGCGGACAGAATAAAAGGAAGAAAGTGCTATCAAAATCTGTTTAGCTCATTATGAATATACACTAAGATCAATAAAACTTTTCTCTGAGTTTGTAGGCTAGTTAACTTTATAGAATTGGTACTAAAAATGTACTTAACAATTAATATACATTTGAATTTAAGCAATTTTCATTTTTCATATAATTGCATTTGCAGGTGTACTAAAACGTGCTAAAACGGTCAGTTTTGGTGCTGTGTGTGTGTGCTAAATAGTTAGGCACTCGAATAGATAGTTTAACCTAGGTGTACTATGGTTTAACCATGCGCTTTATCTTTCATGAACAATTTATAAAGCGTGGGCGCAGTTTCATTTTTTTTTTTTTTTTTTTTTGCTTTTTCTTCTTTTTTTTTTACATCTAACAATAGTTAGATTGATTGGAAATAAACTAGAGCTAATCCCGGCTGGCTCCTTCTAAATGTATATGTTTCATCAAATAGTGTATATAATAAATATACATTTGTATATGTACATATATCCCTTGGTATAGCATTGTTTGTATTCTTGTTGATGTTGTTGTCTTTTGTTTTTGTGTTACGCACAGGAGATTATTTCCATATATTCTCATTTTCCCAATCATTTATTGGGCTTCCGTGGACCCGCTGTAAACCTTCATGATATCCTGAATGGCCGACAGAGAGCCAAAGATAAGGGCCGCAACGCCGCACAGCATGATGATGATGTTCTTCCACAGTATCCAGTTGCCAGGACCAAAACCGGAATCCCAGTGAACGACAAGCTCAATGATAACCTAAGATAAGATGGGATTCGTTAGGCTCACTTTAATGGCAATTGGTTTATGTCGAACTTACCGGAAAGATCAAGCCGAGTATGGAGAAGCAGAAGGCGCCAATCAGGCCCATAAACGGCGCTATGGTTGGCACTGAAACGGCCAGCACTACAGCAGCAGTTACCAGAACGGTGCTGCAATGAAATACCAAGCACAATGAGTACAACAGACTTGTGGAATATATTTTGTAGTAGCTTACCGCAGCACATAGTTGACGAAAATGGGACGCTTGGTGCAGCGCTCCTTGATGCCATCCCAGACGATCTCCAGGCACACGAAGAACTGCAGTCCGAATGTGCAGTAGACGGCCAGGGCAATCAATACCTTTACAGCCTGGGCGGGCCATTCCTCGATGGGGAGATTCAGTGTGATGCTCTCGCCGGTCTCGCTGCCATAGCGCAGATAGCCAAGGAAACCGAGCAGCATGTAGATCAGTGTGACGCCAGACATGCCCTGGCTGAGCACACCGCAAATGCCGAGGAAGTTCTTGGGCGTCTTCATATTGTTTTCCAGCGGCATGACTACGCCAATGGCCTCCATGGCGAAAATGGTTATGGAGAAGAAGGCGGGCAGCGTAGACAGGGTGACGAGGGAGCGCTCCTCGATTGGCGGCAGATCCTGGACCAGATAGTAGAATGTGATGCCCAGGCCGAGACCCATGAAGACATTGGCAACCATCGAAACGGGCGCCAGGTACTTGAGATTGGGCACCCAGGCAATCAGGATCAATGGCACGAGCATTATGCAGATGATCACACGCGGCTCAATGTCGCGTCCCGTCCAATGCACCAGCACTTGCTCGAAGTTCTTGGCCACGATGACCGTGTAGACGGAACAGGTGCCAAAATAGGTGAGGAACAGGCCAAACAGTATGGAAAACTTTGCCACGGGCGCAAAGCCGCGCAGACTCTTTGGACCCTTCTGGAATGCAGCTTCAGCGATTTCAGCAAATGTCATCTTGGTGCGACGTGTTTTATAGTACAGCTTGTGACCGCATTTGACCTGCAGATGAGCTCTATTAGTAACCTGCTAAGATAATCAAGAGGACTGTTTTGATACTAACCAGCACGTAACTGCAGTGCGTGCAGATGAAGGCAGTAAGGATGGTGGCAAAGATGCCCATAACCAAGCCGGAATACATAAACGCATATGGCATGCCCAAAATGCCAGTTCCCAGCGAGGCCTTCAGCAAATGCGTCAAAGTTTCATTATCGCTGCAATCGAAATAGAGAGAGAGTGAGAGTGAGAGTTAGTAAGAGAGATCTGTGTTTCTGTCCTTATGTGGCTGGGGGACTTACGTAGTGGGATGCTCATTTTCGCGCATTGTAAACGGGTCGAAATCATTGTTAGCCAAGGCCTGCTCGGCATCTGATTTGCGTGGCTGTATCTTGTATCTGCAAAAGACAAACAAAGATAGCAAAATAGTAAGTAAAAGTGTAAAGTAGTTGGCCTTAAATCATATCAATGCCACCTCAGCTCCACATGAGTGGGTTCTAAGTCGCTCATTGTCATGCTTGTATGTGAACCGATCTGTACTCTGGTCACAACTAAAATCCATCAACGTGTGCACCATTTTCTTTATATATGTTGTATGTGACAGTCGTAAGTGAAATTCTTTGCTATGGAATTGCTGCATCTGCAATTATCGTCGACGCGTCTCACTCGCTGTTTACAAGCTGTGCAAATCGCTAGAGAAACAACAAGAGCAGCAACGTCTAGCCCAAAATTGGACAGTAAATGCCAATTGTGATTGGCTGCTTGGCTGCTGTTGCACTCAGCCTGATTCCAAGCTGCCAGCGCATTGCATCAGCCGCAAACAACAACAATCAACGGTGCTGCAGTAGCATAAAAATACCAATGAAAAATACTGTTGCCTACTTTTAGGCAGCGCAGTAAAATGAGTACATAAATCTTTTGAATATAAATAAAAGATTTAAACTATATAGTATAAAAGCAAAACTTGTTAAAATGACAAACAAAACAATATAAATTATCTCTAATTTTTATTTAGAAATTTTTCGCTTTGTCACCTTGAGCATATTATTAAAATACACTTAAATTTATATCTAGTCATTTTATTGAAAACCACAAAATCATTTCCTGTGGCATATTTCTGATAAGCATACAAAATTTGTGTTTTCTTTGGCTACCCATTAATCTATAAAAATATGTATATATTGTTGTTGTGGTTAAAGAATTTGATTATAAACTCATTAAATTTTGTATTATCATTTGAAGTGCAAGGTTTGCTCACTAAAATAATATAAAAAGGTTATCTTCCTCGATTATGTCTGATTTCTGTTTAAATTCTGCTCCCAGTATTTCCAGAATTTTGTAAACAAATTTATTTTAATTTGTGCTTTACGACATTAAGTCATTGTTGATGCTAAAACTAAAGTCATAGTAAATAGGAAAATTTATTTAGTTATTTGTTATCAGCGAGATGAAAACTCAATTTTCAGCTCGTGATCAGCAATATTTATATTACGTTTCTCATGAATAATAATATTTGCATATATAATAAACAAATAATCGCGCAGTTCAATGCAAAAACAAGAATCAAAGTGTATTATATTGCAAAAATATTTGCAAACTTTGAGCTTTGACTAAATAGCAAACTACGTAAGCGATTATCTGTTTCTAAATAATTTTATATATGTATGCGTATATGTTTCTATCTGTTTCTAAATAATTTTATATATGTATGCGTATATAAAATTATGTGTTATTCATATTCGAGCTTAAGCCTGAGTAATACACGTATAGTACACAACTAGATCTAGGTCTAGTTAACAACTAAAACAACAATTTTGTTGTTGCGGCTGGCTAGTTAATAACTGTGATCATCAACTGAATGACATGGCTAATTTCTGTGGCGTCTGGCTAATTGGCGAGCTGTGTGATATTTGGCGGCATCATTGTACAGCAATTTGTCGGGCTAAACTTACATTTAATTGACGAGCACGCAAAGCCAATTGTTGGCTGACTTAGTTAATAATTAGAACTCTTAATGAGAGAGAAACAGAGAGAGAGAGAGAGAGAGAGAGAGAGCGAGATGGGGGGCGAGAGAGACTTACTTGTTGGTGCCGCCGCCGGGCAGGAACTGTTCCATTTCCTGTGGCACGTGCTTCGCGCTGCCATCCTGCAATCAAAAATCAATTTTTGAGTCCAACAATTGAAAGGGAAAATCGTAAAGTCTTTCGCTACTCACTATAACGTTCACCATTGTGTTTATGTGTGTGTGTTTTATATCGCTGCTATTTCGGCTCTGAAAGTAGTAGAGAGAATTTCAAAGTTATTAGTTATAGCTGGAAAAATTTGTCTGATTGAATCAGTAGACGTTGGATTTGATCAAATTTCAATCGATTGGACAATGTCTTTAATTTGTTCACATTTTATGCGTCCAATTGCCTTTTAATTGATTCGTGGGCCGCCGCACATTTAATTTACGAGTAAAAGACATTTGATTTAATTTATTGAAACTTATTCCACACGTTTTTTTTTATATATAGAATGCTCGGTCAGCAAATTAAATGAGAGCATATGGGTTTTGTCGCAGACATCAATTCAACTCGATTGTGTGATTTGGCAGACTGGAAATTCGGCAAATGGAACGAAAGTAAATTGGGCTTGTCTATGATATGTCTTGCTCTTCAGCTAACTGTCTTGAGATGATTGAAATTGGAAATACCTATAATATATATATATATATCTATACAATTGTGTAACTTGTTTTAAGCCTGGAAAACACTTCAAGTCTGAAATGGAGAATTGGCAAATGAAAGAGTTAAACTCTAGCAGCATCACTTTTATATGTAGCTATATGTAACCAGTTAGAGTCGAGAATGTGGATACTCTTATTCAAACAATGAGCGTGCATCATGCAGTCAGCTTCGCTCGAGTGCCACTCGCTTGCCTTTTTTGTTGCTGTGGAGATTTGCATACAAATGTTTGTTTGGTGGGGCAATTGCTCGACGTATGACAACTTATATTCACTTAATTTCTCTTTATGTCACTTAAATGCCATCTAATGAGTTCTATATTTAGACTTGCTATCAATGAACTCTCGCGCTGTGACCAATTCGGGCTGTTTGCCGAAAATGTTCTTTTAGCGCTGTCATTGCGATGATGAGAATCGAACGCAAACTTGCTTATCCGCCGTGGATCTATTATTAATATACGAGTATATTTGGTTGAATCTGAGGCAGCACAAATTGAATTTTGTTTTTAGCCATTTCACATGTGCTACACTTCACACATTGTCAAGTGGTAAAATTGTCACAAGTTTGTTTTTTGTTTTTGTTTTTGGTAAGGGGGCGGCGGCACATTTGCCTGTCACATGCGTCAATAGAAACAGCCTTGTACTTTGGCTTTGTGTCACAATTTGGCTTTCTAATTTAGCTGCTGCTGGCAATTAACACTTTGTTGGCCTGGGCAAAAATTTAGTAGCTCAAACGAAGTGAGAGCTCAACTGCAGCTTATAGAACCTTTGATATCAAGTAGAGACACGTGGGCATGGCTCAGCTTCGGGCTATGTCGAATTTCATATATCAAATGGCAAGATAAATGTGCTTTTGTTTTGGCCCATTTACATAAATATTCATGCAGCTGCGTAGACACATTTCAATATTCAAGTTTCGTTTGTATATTGGCTTTATTTTCTCATCTCCGCTTAGCTCAGCACATTTCTCAGCAAGGTTTAATGAACTTTTTGGCGGACAGAAACGAGTCGCGATTTCTCGACATCAATCATACTGCGCTCATATATAGCCCAATTATTAATCAACAACAGAAAGGAAATCTGATTTAATAGCACTTCAACACAATCTCATGCTTAATCTTAATTGCATTACCGTAATCGCAGCAAGAACTATACTCTTTCACCAGTAGCTCCTCAAGAGTTAAGAATTTATATATTTATGATCCAGAGACGATTGCTCACGTCACTAGAAGTACGTATATAAAACACTGATAAGTCACGAGTGAGATAAGATCTTATCGTAGCATATCGAGACCGGAACGTGCAGGCATGAATGAAATATATTGTGTTGGCGACAATATAGATTGGGGTCTTTTAGCCGATTGAACATATGTGTGTATAAATGCATATTTACCTATACATTTTTATGATCATCACGTATTTAACAACACACATGAAAGAACCTTCACCCAGTGCGAATTGGCACAGTTCGAGTTCTTGTTTGATGCTCGATTTCGTTTATATTTAGTGGCGTTCCCTGCTCGCCCCATATCGCCCCAGAGAACCGGCTAGAACCGGTTGCGTTTAACCTTTAGATAACGGATCGATTTATATCATTGCCAAAAAATGTACAAAAAAAAAAAAAAGAACCATAAAATTGCTTTGTGTTGCGTGCACATTGGAAACCTCAGACATGACATAGACAAAAGTGAAAACTAAATATATATCAAGATATATCAGATGTAGTAAATTGATGCCCTTTCAAAGTTCACTCGTATTGTCAATGGAATTTCTTAGGAATTGCCAAAAATATACACGATTTCATCATCTCAATTAATTTCTTGGTCGTGTTTCTTTTATATCTTTAGAAATGTGTGTGTGTGCGTGTGAGTGTGTGAATGTGGGTTGGTTTGCTGCTCTAATTGAAGCTAGTTATGTTTGAGGAAATGTCGCAGAACTAAAGATTACAAGAGAACAAAGTCACATACATAAATTGTGCATATCTGAGGCAGGCTAGCCAATGTTAAATTGGGAAACAACTATTGACAAGACTAAAATAACAAATTCTTTTTGCAGCATCTAGTGCAGGACGACCTTGAAAATGAAATTTTGACAAAGACTGAACCAATTTAGCATATTGTATTGAAAAATATTCAGAACGAATACGAATAACCAATGAAATAAGATGTAGCCAAGAGCAGAGACGCATTAAGATTTACTAAATCGGAATAACATGTACTCTTCACTGTAGATGGCAAGCAAGCAAGGGAGAGAGAGAGAGAGAGAGAGAGAGAGAGAGAGAGAGAGACGACTGTTGCGCCTATGTGACGTCATGCTGATTGAGAGCGCGCTCAGCGCATTCTCGGAAAGAAGCGGCCAGGCCCCTAACCAAAATCAAAAAAACACGTGTTCCAATTTTAGAATTAAATATGTAAGTATTTAGTCTGACGTTTGGTCTATATTGTATATGTATGTATATGCCATTATTGTATAATATCATTAACGAGAATTTGAATACCTAAATGCTTACATGAATAAGATAAGAAAATTAAAAATCACAGAATTTTATCAAGAAATCATGAATCACACAGTGCTACAAATATGTATGTACATGCGAGCCAGAGTATATTCCTATATGTATAAATAGCTTTAAAGTAATTATGCTTATATTTAGCTACAAGTAGACGTGGGAACCTGCAATGTTTCATAGAAATTTCATCAGCTAGAAATCGCTATGGCGCGGTTCATGTTGCATTTGTATAATCAAAATTGTTATTTCTATGAAATCGAGCTAGCATCGGTATCGGGAGATTGTCAATAACAATATTATGTTTCAAAATGTTTACAGTGAAAAGGGCTACGTATTTGTACTCTAATACTATCAAACAGAGAAAATAAACGCAAGTCCAATCGGATTTGGAATTTACGTACTATTAGCCCAAGATCAACAAATACATACATATGTATGCATGTATATACATCTGACGCAGGCAGTAATAGAATTTTTTAGCTGCTGTTCAAATAATAATACCATCATAGTTCTATTAATATTATTGTGGGCACGTGAAACACTCTTCAAGTGCATTCGCATACATATGTATATATATTAGATTTATATATTTCCCATAGACTCGCTGCCATTAGCTTTGGGCTATTCGTATGTAATTACGATTACGTAGATAAGTCCAGTAGTGCCTGACATAACTATAAACAATTACAGTGCTTTCGATAGCTTATAAGTTGCATAAGCAGATAAGATTCCTGTGCTCAGTTTATCAATGCAGTAAGATTATTTACGAGATACTTTATAGACTAAATGCCAAATAATAAATTATAAAATGGCTCGACCTTTGGAATGGTTCTCTAACCATTGAGCGAGTGGTAACGTTGCCATTGCCACCTGAGCTGTGTGACTACGATACGGTAATTGGCTGCATCTAAAAATAAATCAATTTGTCTTGGGGCCGTGGTTCTTCTACGCTCTACCACCAAGAACTCGAGTCAAGTCCAGTCGAGTCAAGTGCAAGGGCGTGTGTAAGCAATTTCCGCAAATTGACAGGCAAACAAGAAACCATATCGTCAAGAACAAACGACAGTTCGGACTGGAACAGCAAATGCTACAAAAATAACAGTAAACAATAGATCGAGCTTCATTATAATTGCAATGGATATTAATGCCAACAAAGTGTTCAACTAGGTCTTCTAGCAGTCCCAATCTATATATGTATGTAGTTAATCATTGATAATTGATCATCATCTTCGGAGTATGTAGGTCATCCAACATAGAAAGATTATCAATTTTATCTTAGACAGACTTACTCTCTGACTCTCTCAAATACTGTTCTTTCCATACAACAATCTATTTTAACTCAATTTCGTAAATCCGATTCCAGTTACTCAAGCTCTAAAAAACTACCGCAATTAATATAAAGTTTTGTTCTATGAATAGAGATTTGCATTTCTGAGAACAAAAACTCGATTGCTGCCCACGCAACAACAATTGCTGACGTGGAGCCCTGCATAAAGTTCTTGCCCTTATATTTTCGCATGCTGACGTCACTATTTTTACTGCCCCTTTTCTTCCGTTCGCATTTAGCTGTGGATATTCTTTTTAATGTTAATTATCGCAGCACACAAAAATCAATAGCTCCACGCGACATTGAAAAGTGTTGGTACTACTATGCAGTCCCACTTAATGCCTTCCGAATGGTAATAGATAACGTAGAGGTGTTGGCTGAGCACCGAAGGTCGCCTCACATTTGTATTTGCCTTTTTATGGTCGATTCTAATTTTTTTTTGTTTGTTCAATTTTCCCGAGCTCTTCATTAAAATGCAATATGTGTGTGTGTGTGTGTGTTGGTGCGTGGGTGTGCTTAGCTCACTGATTGGCAATGTTGTGGGTGTACCTGCACTAAAACCTAGACACTATACAGGTAAAACGCAATTCGATTTCTCCCTTCAAATGCTCAATTACCTTTGAATAACGTACTTTTGAGAAAACACGGCATGGCGCATAAACAATTTTAATGAAGCTCATGCACACACTAACAACATCAACACCAACTACAACAACAACAACAACATCTTCAACATCTGCAATCGAGCAATAGAAAATGAAACAAATTTTCTGCAAAACTATATGGTAAATTAGAAAGCGCGCGCCTTATTTGAGTTGTCGTTGACTGTTACGTGTTACGTGATATAGATTTCATTCATTGAAAACAAGTCGAATGTACTATGCAAATCGGAAGTGTGTGTTAAGGGTCAGCGACAAATGCCGCCACAGCGCAACATGCAAGTGGAGAGAGAAGACGAGAACCTAAGGGCGTACAGGTGCAACGCAGTCAGCGCTGTCGACGTCAGCTGCGCAGCGAGCGCTCGCTCTGCTTTGCCTACGTTGCAGGCGCGTGTCCACGCAATTTCTTTTGAATTTGTATTGAATTTGCATGAATACATCCATAAAAATAGTATATTACAATATGCAACAGATTCTCGTGTACAGCACAATGTTCAAATATAATTGACGTTAATCTTTTGTTGTTCAGACAGTCACTGTGAATATGTTGAATAACAATGTATGTATTAACCAACCAATCGCTCATACAAATTTTGTTGTCTTCCTATTTTTAGGTCACATTCTGTCTGTCCGGTCTATGGGTATCTTTCATCAGTGCACGCTTGTGCAATTTTGACATTTGCTCATTAGTTTAGAACAACTGTACGTACCATGTTAACGACTTTGTTAGCCGCTGCATCACCTAACGAAACATAACGTAACGTCATGTAACGTATGCGTTTGATCGCCAGCCCATATTAACGCTTTACTATTGCCATGCATTCCGTCTGCTATTTCTAGACACCCAAATTTGTGCTTGACACTTTTTTTTACTTATGCTCTTCGCATGCACGTCCAAAAAAGAATTTCTTGAGTGTGACATACACACGTAGACATTTTTATACATATATATGGGTATTTGTATGTGTGTGTGTGTGTGTGTGTGTCTGTATGTACTCACTTTGCTGCTCTTGTTAAAATCGCTGGCTTCCTTGAGTTTAGCACTTACATTTGTTTAATTTACACACTAGTTAACGTTTACTTTCTCATTTACGAGAACAGTTTTTTGTAACGTTGAGGCTATTGTAGATTAACTAATATTAGGTTAAACAACGCACACGTTCTTTAAAATGTACAACAAATGTCGCACCGCCTGCAAGGCATTGACCACGCGGCACTAATGTCGGTCTTCGACTGACACGACGTTTTCGACGCGTTGTTTTTAAACGAAGACCGCATCAGTGAGCGCGCCAAAATGCAGAGACTACGTCGAACGGAGCAGCAGCAGCGCGCAGAAGCAACTGAGAGAGGAAATAGTGACGTGAGCGTGCACGTTTTGCCGCTTACTCTCTGTTTCTTTAGCATATTTAAAGAGCGGCGAGTTACACGCTTTAAGCCGCTTGTTGTTAAATACAATATTTATAATGCAAAACGTCTTTCTATGGTTCATTAAAATATAAAAAGACATTAATGATATCAGCAAATCTTTCTAAATACATATGTATGTATGTACATTTGTTGCACCAAATTCGACTTGTGATTTGGCAGTGCACGTGGAAGAGCAAGAGAATAAGGCTAAGCAATTGGACAACACGTTGAGAGATTGAACTGCAGCACTACCTACCCTCTTGGTCAGAGGCTCGGCTCACGAGAGCATTAAAGGAGCGTCATGAAAGGGCAAGGGCCGGCAATTCCCTTTACATTTGGCTGACGAAATCGTTTCAGGTGTTTCATAATCACAATAAATATTTTAAACTTCTCTCTCACTCCCAACGGAAACATGAAACTTTAAAATAGAATTCAATACAATGCAATACAACACGCTGCGGCATCCTACCTGGTTGTTGATAAAGATAAAAACTTCATTGCGTCAGCAAAAGCGTGCAGAGCCAACAATTCTAGATAATATTTATAATAATAATAATAAAACCCAATATTATATAAAATAATAATATTTTTGTACTTCAATTTTCTAGCATCAAGTATTTTTATGATATCAGAATCGCAGATCAGTTCAGAAAAGTTTAAAACTATTCACTTATCGCAGCTATCTAATGAAGTGCAGTGTCATGCCGATTGGCATCTAATTTGCACATCTATCAGCCATAAATACATACATACATGGGTACGTCATCAGTCTAGGGATTTCCATTAATTGATAAACTAAACAAATAAAAAGACCTGATGAAATTCGCACATGTTGGATATGCATGTCATTCTTGAATATATGAGACATGTACATATGTATGTATGTACATACTATGTGGCAGAGTTAACTGTTTTTCTAGCGGCACCTGATAAGGTGAGTGCCGTGTGCTTTAAAGCTTTTGAAGTGCTACGAGATAGGTCACCACTAATTGGCATTGATTTCAACTCAATAAAGAGTACCGATGGGTCTGGCTAATCAGAAAAGTTATTTAAGGTAAGCTAAGCTATTAATAGATTTCAGTTAAAGCTATCAAAAACGATAAAAATGAATGCATTTAATAATTTAATTATTTTAGTTAGCCCAATGGACAATGGGTTTCTGATAATATATATATTTGGACAATGGATTTCTAATATTCGAATGCTACTTAGGAATTAAAAGTTGACAAACGCAATTCATTAAAGATAAAACTGCCTTATCGTTACCCTTACTAAGCACAAAGGTGATTATAAATCACCGCCTTTTTTGGTCTATTAAAATGTAAAACTTTATTCCAAAAATCAGCAAATCTTTTTGTATACATTTGTTCTGTTTTACGTACAATATATATAATTTAAAATCTGTATGCATACAAATTATATGAAACCACTTTTCAATGCGTTTACAGCATTAAACGAAAGAATTGATTAAGATTAAGAACATAAAACTTTGTATATTATACAATAGATTTTAAATCTGTTAGCATAAAATCATAATCCTTACTTGAGTTGGGATTCAAACAAAACAAATAAATATATTTGTAAATTGCACAAGAAATTCTTACATAAATATTATGAATCTGGTACATAGATAAGTGTTTTATAGCCGTGTGAAGCACGCTGACTGTGTCTGTAGTTTCTTTGAGTGTGTTTGCCAGTTTGGAACTGTCCTTCAGTTACTATTGAGTTTCTGTTTGATCTATTGTAAATGTTAGTTTGGAGTGATATTGATTGAGAGTAGTTTGCATTACATATGTATTATATGGTTCTGATGCTCTATGTGTGTGTGTGTCTGTGTCTGTATGTGAGGTAAAAATTTCTTGCCAATGGACGTAAATACTTAAATATACATATATATGGCAGTACATTGGGGTCTTTCAATTTTGTTGCATTGGTCTCTTCGCTCGATCAAAATTCTCAATCTTTCCCACACACGCGCTATGCATCCGATTTTCATTGACTGTTAACCTATTTGAAACCCCGCGCTTTAAGGCTTCAAATAAATGAATCGTCAGTGCTCTTCTGGCGGAGTGCGAAACTCTGAGATCCAGTCGGTGACGCGCAATCGAAAGATTTCCGTTTTGGTCAGTATCCAGTCGCGATATTGATGCGGAATATACTCCACCAGTTTATCCGCAATGTCTGGATTCTTGAACATAATCATATAAATGATGAGCACATTGATCATGAAGAGCAAAAGAAACGTCATCAACGATGAGAAGGCAACGCCCGATAGGGTTCTGAGCCAACCTCTCCTGTTACTGCTATTTGTCGACTTTTTCTTTTGATTGTTCTTTTGATTGATTGTAGATTTGATGGGACCGGCATTAACTGGTTTGATTGTGAGCTCGTTTTCAGATGCGGCTCCCGCTTTCTTTGACTTTGACTTTTTATTGGATTTCCCTGTCTTTTTGGATATCTCGCCGCCATTGGTCTTTGTGCTCTGGTTGGACGTCGAGCTGGCGTCCCCATCGCCGGAGCCAGCTATTTGTGAAGAACTCCCTTGGCGCATTTGGGCGGCTAAACGTTCACGTTCAATGATTTCGTACTTGTAGTTTGCACAAACGTTCACCTGTAAAATGTGAGCAAATTGTACATAAAAGGCCACTCAACTGAAGGGCCACTTGTCTTACAGTATTCTTGGCCGCCTGTTGGCAGTCCTTCAACGTTGAACAGCAGCCCACAATTTTCTGCCAGGCGGGCGTCAAGGGATTGCCCTTCAAGTCTAAATAGCGCAGGCAACGCAATCGACCAAAGCTCAAAGGTAAATGCTCCAAGCAATTGTCGTACAAGTCCAAGTGACGCAGATGCTCCAGTTGGCCAAAGTCTTCGGGCAGAAAACGAATTTGATTCTTGCTCAGATCCAGCTTGATTAGCCGCGTGAGCGTGGTGAAGTTGCGCTATGGGGCAGTAAACATATGCTAATTAAATAATTTACTTATGTTTTCTTTGGTTTTTATACGTACGCCGAGTGTGGCCAACCGGTTGCTGGAGAGATCCAGGAAGATAACCCGCTTGAACGAAGCCTGTGAAGGTAAAATATGAACTGAATATGAGTTGAATTTTAAACAGAAAGTTCAACAACCAAAAAAGAAACCCCCGAAAACAACAGTAGAATACAATATTTGGCAACTTTCCCGTGCCACTGTGTCCGAGGGGTGGTAGTTGCGCTGCCAAATCACAAAAATCAACCCCCTGAAGCAGTTTCGGCTGCACACACAGAAACTCACACACGCACACGCACACATACACATGCATCTTCCTTATGCAGCGCTCTCAAGTGTAAATGCAATGCAGTCAACGTCAGCGTTAATTGCAAACCAGCCGGCAGCACCAGGCATCCAGGCTGCAACAACAACAACAATCGATGTATTCAACTGTGCTTGTGCTGGCGAGAGTGAGACAGGCTATAACTGGCTAGACTTGTGGCAGACTAGACAGCGCTTTGTTTGCACTTGTGCGTCGGAAACCACATCAGAGGGGTCAGAATTCAGCTCAGTACAGAAGATAATTAGCGATATACGTCGATATTATTGTAATTAATCGTGGCTCTGCATATAGTATGTAATTTACTCACAATTTCACGCACTGGTATTTCCGTCAGCTCGGAGAGGCTTAGATCACAGTTTTCATCTTCGACCCGTTCCTTCACGTTCACTTTTACTTTTTCTACGCCCTTTGGCATATTTGCTATTTAATTTAAATATTTAATTCCTAACAACTATGACACAATTTAGAATGCCAACTACGCCAAATGAAAACCAAAACACAGCTGCACTCGCCAAAAGCCGCTCACAGACTGCCGGCGCATGGTACGCAGCACACGATGGCAACGCTTTGAGCGAGCAGCACGATTCAATTGAAGTGACGTCACAAGTGTAGACAACAGCATACTCAGGCTCCATGTACTGAGCACTCTCGATACACTTTACACTTATTGCTCTCACTAAACACATGTTATATTTAGAATCAATTCGAAAGTCTGGCAACGCAAAAAGCCTACCAACACAAATGGATATACAGCTGTACGTATAATAATGTATTTGTTTTCTCTTAAGGACTTTACATTTATTTTGTAAATATTTCCATTTTATTTCATTAAACATTAACTGACTTGCAGTTTAGTCCTCCTCTTCTTCGGCAGCTGCTGCACCACCACCCTGGTTCTTCTTCAAGTTCTTCCTCTTGACACGTCCGGGACGGCCGCCACCGAAGGGCGACTTCAGGGAGAAGTCAATGTGCTTCTGCGAATCCAGACGCACCACAAACGATGGAATGTTGACCACCTGCTTGCGCACACTATATAAGATTAAAAAAAAAAAAAAGAAATAGAAATATTAATACAGGCAAGTGGATTACCTCAGCTCGGGGCTATAAAGTTGGATCAAACTGTTCAGTGCAACTTACGCTATGTAGCTTTGCATTAAGGTCTGTGTGAACAACTGGGTGATCAACAAACATGACCAAAAGACGTTGAGAGTCGGTGCAAGCTCTGTTTTGTTTTTGGCTTGTTCGACTCCCAAGTGGTCTTACTGAACATTAATTTCTTAGCACTTAGATTTGTTGCCTGGCCTGTTAATTTACCGAATGTGACGCTGACGGATCAACACGCGTGCATGATGAATGGACTTGGCCAATCCAAGCTTGAACACCTGGGTCTGCAGACGGCGCTCCAAGAAATCCTCAATCTTCAAGCCGAGCACGTAATCGAGCTTCATGCGAGACTCATCCAAGACACCAATGCGCACCAAACGACGCAGCAGAGCATTACCTAAGGAAATAGTGCAAATTATTAAATAATTCTTAGCAACCTAGCAAATGGTATTTAAATATTTTCAGCGTGTATTAGTTAACGTCAATGTGTATTCCGCCAAGAGGTGTCAGAATAATGTTTTAAATACAAATCATCATGACATGGCTAGCAGTTGGACGGGGGCATCGTCTGCCAACTTACCCTGGAAAAGACGCTTTTCGTCCTTCTCTTCCAAAGTCAGCAGCTCACGGGCAGCCTTACGGATTTTGGCCAGGGCGTATTTGACGCGCCACACTTCACGCTTGTTGCGCAGACCATATTCACCAATGATCTTCAACTCCTGATCCAGGCGCGCCTTTTCATAGGGGCGACGTGGAGTCACATAGGTCTTCGAGAAGACCGAGGGTATGCGGCCGTTAACCATGATTCCAACAATTCAACCGATACTGTAAATTAAGAGGTTAGACTTTAATCACACTGTATAACTGGCATCCGTGCATATTTTCAAGAAATTATAATCAATTGGTCACGCTTAGTTATTTAGATAATATAGCTGCACAATATTTCAAATAATAATAGCTATTATTTGCTATATTTTGTAAATTTTATAGGATAGCACAATTTCAACATACGTTCGGCTTGATGTTCCACGCTGAAAGAAAGAGATATGCAAAATTAGAGAGGAGACTCGTCTGGTTAGTAACCGCACTGTAACGAGTGACTGCTGTTAATGTTAATGCTACGTGAAATTGTTGCCACTAAATAAGGCAGTCTGGTAGCACTTTTTTGTGAGAATGGCAAATGACTATTTTTCTTATCGATAAATGAAAACGTTGAATATTCAAAGGTTGCAAATTGATGATATATTCATTTTGTGATTATATTTATTTTTAAGCAATATAGCTTTGTATGCACATCGATAAAATAAAAGTAAATACATTGATTTTATGGAGATACGCGTGCATAAAGTTGTACTTCAGCTTTCCAATTCTTGAATGTGCCTACGCGAAGGAAAATGACGTAATTTCCTCTTGGTGCAGGAATTTCGGAAAACATATTGAAATTGTCCATAGTTCCTTTTATCACTAAATCATGCTGCAATACAGAATTTTCAAATCAATTGATAAATCAAATTAGGTACAGTACAAACCTGGTAGGGGCAGCTGTGATTTATATTTGAATGCTTTTTAAAAAAAACTGAGGCAAATTTTGAAAATTTCGTTGGGTACGAATGACGCATGAACGCACAGAAATCGACGTTCTCAGTAAAAAGTGGTATCCGGTAGTTTTTCATAATTTTAGAGCAGCTGAGAGTAAGCTTTAAATCTCATATTTATAAATAAATTTAATTGCGTACAAAAAAGCTCGAGCTACTTACAAAAATTTTATCTATGGGATCCTTATATACCACTGCCACATACACATCAAATGTGGTTTTATTATCTTTGGTAAACAATTCACAGCTTTTGAAGTAACTGAACTCTGGGTTCAAGGATTTACACTCGGCCTTACTGAAAGCAAAGATCCTTGCTTGGCAGCCCAGCAAACTAAAGCCATGAATAACGAATATCCAAATACGGGGAATCATCTTTCCTATTTAATTGAAAGACTGCCACTGTACAACGATTGCCACAATTGCGGCTATTTGACCGATTCCGATAATCTCAATTTAATAGTCGTATATAATTTGTGTCTATCAAATACTTCTGTTGTGTATTTTATTTATTTATTATAATCTGAATCCATTAAAAATAGTAAATCAGAGTATAACAAATTTGTTAAAATGTATGTAACAGGCAGCAGAGGCGTGACGAACCCAATAGAGTATACATATGTATGTATATATTTTTGATCCGGAAAGCGGGCTGAGTCGATTTATTTCTGAAAATTCATTCTGAAAAAATTACTCCTACATCTTCAGAGCTAAAGTCAAGTGTACTTTATAGATCTTCAATGTTTCGTATAATCCCATTCTCCACGAATTTGCAAAAAGCGTATTTGAAATACCAGAGACTTGTATCATGGTCTGAAAGCTTTATGAAGATAGTCCATCTCTAAAAAAACGTATATAATTAATTACGTTCCCATGCTGCTTCAATTTTTGCTTAATAAACTATATGTACAAAAAAAATTCACTTGCTTATATAGGTTAATTTTATTGTTAATCAGATCGTGTGACAAAAATCTTAAGTTCTGCACGCCAAACTTTGGAGACCGAGAGTTTGATGTTGATCATATATTCCCCGTTTAGTAAGGGTAGATCTATCATGGAGCCCCTCTCGTAAATGAATCGATTGATTATAATGTCGTGCTGTAATCGGAATGATAGTTAGTGGCAGGACTTAGTTGAATCAACTGGAACTCACGTCATAAGGACACGTGTGATTGAAGTTAGAGACGGCCACAAATGTCTTGTGGAAGGCGTTAAAGAATATGTAGGCCTTGGGATTGCGCATATAGTAGCAAAAGTCGAGACTTTGATTGATCAGGTAGGAGCGATAGCCGTTCGACTTCTTGAACAGCTCCAGATTGATGTAAATATTGTCCACAGGCCTCTTATGCATTACAGTGTACATGCTGAATGCAGCCACGCCCCTGCGTCTCATTGTCAGCTCGCACTGCTTAAACGTGCAGTAGGCGGTGTCGTAGCAGCGACAGATCACATTGTTCAACTTGAAGTGACTACACCGTACGGCCGTAAAAGCGATGAGTACCACAATTAATAATCGATGCATATTGTGTGCGGCCAAAGAGCCAATTCTGAACTAGCTGATCGAAAAAGTTGCCTAGCTTACATGTTGACCTCATGCGTGACGGTATTAAAAAGACATTTGCACAAATGTTCAGCTTCATTGGTAAAAAATTAATGTAGTGCAGAGATTTAATTTGATATATAATATACATATGTATATGTATATCTATTATGATTAATTGTAATATATTGTATATATATCTATATATAATAGTATGATTCATTACTCTAATCGCACTGAAAGCCTAATAAAACGACTGAAGCGACTGAAAACTTATATAGGATTGATATACTAATATGTTCCTAGTAAGTTTCTGTTTTAATTTCGCTATTTGTATTGGATAAAGTAATTAAAATAACAATTTCTAAGTATTTTATCAATTTTCTCCAAGTATTTCCCCTCTCTATTTCCTTTTTCTTCTAAGTATTTCTCCCAAGAATTCGTTGTAAATATTTCCGCCAAAAGCTTTCTCTTTAGTCTTTAATGCTTAGCTGAACGATCACACTTCTCACTTCACTTCACTTTACAGCACTGTACGAATGACCTCCACCAGGCCTGGACAACTGAAGAAATGCTGCTGCGGCTGCTGCCCTTTATATAAGGCAACAGTCAACATGCACAGAGTCGCGCTCCTTCGCCAGGTAGTCGATAAAAAGTGACCAATGGGAGCACCCTCTGTTGGCAGCACTGCTCGTGTGACGGAGAGCAACGATTGACGTCGTTTCTTCAACGACTTCGTATGCGATCGGACAACCTCTCTGAGCTTGCTACGATCGTTTGGTTGAGTTAAGCGAAGCCAAAGGTAATTTGTCTATGTATGCAAACGAGAGAGAAATGCACCAATGGCGCGCTTGAGCTGACTATGTGCTTGTGTGTGTGCATGTGTATTCTTGAGTATTGAGTCAGTCTCATCAACATGAATCGTATCTCTCCCTCAAGCCGCACACGAACAATGCTGCCAGCAGAAGGTGTTTCAATTGGTGATATACGGTGTACCAATACATATACTAATACAATTTTCTCGCTATATTATACATATTTACATATTTATATTTGTTTAAAAGCAATAAAGAGTAGGCCCATTTATTCCAGCTGAGACTGCAGCTATATTCAAAATATAATGACATAATAATATTAACAATATGCAGTGCAAATATAAATATCTCTTTATTGGCTGCTCGTATAACATTTTCTGATCAATATCACATACTCATATCGTCTATCAAAGTCTTGACATAATTCATCCAATTTGGCATTTAGTTTAATTATGTAAAGTGTTAACTGCATTTTGTTGGCTCAGTTGCGGCCTGCGTCCCTTTCGCTCTTTGTTTGCGCGCTGTACGCAAAGTTTGGCAATGAATAATATTATTTATTCAACTCAAGTTTACATTTTGACTCGAAGCTAAAGTCAATTTTGTTGACCGCAAGCAAAGTTCTGAAGTGCTGCAAAATATTCAGCTTATGTGCGTGTGTGTGTGTGTGGCAGATAGCTATTTGCCACATATGGCGTAAGCAACAACAGATGCATTGCAGCTCGATTAGTTTTATTGCCACCCTGCGGCAATTGTTTCGTTGCCTTATATCACTTAGTGGCAAGTGGCATGTGGCATGTGGCATGTGGCAAGTCGCACGTGGCAGCCTTTGCACTTGCCGCTGCCTGAGCCTGAGCGCTTGCAACGAGCCAAAAGTTTTAATTAGACAAATTATAAGTTTGGCCGCTCGCGCTCGTTAAAGCTCGTCAGCTCAGCTCAGCTCAGCTCAGGCCACGCCACGGCAAAAAACTTAAATATTCATTATGAACATAAAATTCCGGATATTCATGACTTTCACAAGCTCAATGTTTACCTGTGGCAGAAACTTTAGCCATTTGGGACAGCCGGCTGTCAGTTTTTGGCCATAATTATTAATCCTGATGGGCCGGTCGTAAGTGCCATCAGCGTTGATTGGCTCTTAACTGATTCTCTTGGCCTTTGGCTGGCGTCTTGTTAATTGAGGCAATTCAAAGTGGCCAAAGCGGCAAGGCCAGGTGGCAAAAAGGCAGAGTCGAGGACTCCTGCTCTTCTTCTTCATGTGGTCCAGCAAAAAGTTTTCGTCGTCTTTCGTCATCTACTTTCCTTCACTTTTAGTTTTCACTTTGTGCCGCATGTGTGCAACGTGTCGTATGCGTGATGTGCCATAAATTATGCTACCTATTCGGAGTAGGCCTTTAATTTTCTAGCCTGCCTCAAGGACAGCAATCAAATAACGGGCGCTAGCAACTGCCTGGCGACAGCTTTGCCGCCGCTTCAACCGGAAACGGAAATACAATTTTAGTAATTTTCGTGAGTGACCAAAGGCAGCCAGCGGAAATTGCCAAAAATAACCCAAGGCGGGCAGCAGCAGCAGCAACTGAAGAGTTGCTCAGCGTTGCGTGTTGCTCTTCAAGCTGACGTTTTGTATTTGTTTTTATTGGCGTGAAAAATGTAATAAAGGAATTTCTGCCTTCATTGTCATGTGTGTGTGTGTGTGTGTGTGTGGGTTGTTGTTTCTCTTTTGCACTGACCTGAGCGCTGCGTCCTTGCCTCGACCCAACTTGATGAAGTTATGTACGTGTTCGTTTATGTGCTCTATTTGATGGTAGTTTATGCTTTGGGCTCGATCCCGGCTATAGTGCTTTTTAACTGTCTTCCCAAAAGGCCAACATAAATGTTGCCCATTTGCTGGCGCAGATTCAAATACGGCTGTCCTGCAAGGGAGTTCGTTCAGCAAAGCCTCTTTAATAGATATTTACTAGGCGACAGCGCATCCGCAAGTCTGCCAGCTGAACCACTTTGGCTCCACTGTCTTCTGTTGTCCCTGGCCTTTTGTCAAGTTGTGCGCGTGTGAAAATGTGCCTAAGGTCATGGCCATTCAAGTGTGTGTGTGTGTGTGCGTGTGTGTGCGCGCGTGTGTGTGTGTGTGGC